AAATGACCGTTCCTGCGCAACACTCATTTGAGCTGGCACATCCATTGGTGCAGCTTTGCCCAAGCGTGGCAGGTTCATTATGCGCAGGGCACCTCACCGGCTCAACCTGTCGCAAGACCGAATCGATGTCACTGGCTGCTCAGTTGGTTCGGCCAGCTGCAGACCGTTCAACGAGCTCAATGGGCACTATCAGCCCTTCATGTTATGCATCCTGTCCATCAAGTGCCACACACCTTGACGGTTCGACACAGCTCGTAGTGGATCCGGTGCTTCCAACCATCCAGATGGACCGACCATCTGTTCCTTCACAACATTCACCCGAGCCATCACACATACATGAATTGCTCTGTCCAGATGTGTCCTGTCTGTCAAGTGTAACACACCTTGACGGTTCAATGCATCGCGTGGCTGCATCATTACCTCCGATCGTGCAGTCAGACCAGCTAGCAGCTTTATGGCAGGGTTCGCTTGAGCGGTGAAGGAGCGGAGCTGGATCACCTTATGTAACCAGTTTCCTACGTCCAATAACGATATTAGAGTTTGTGCTGATTTGCGTACTGACCGTGTTTTGGTTGCCAAATATATGATTGTTCACTGTCTAAACAACAATAAACACCCCCCAACGATCTCACCTGATGTATAGATCGTCTACGGATAAAATTCTATATTGACTTTACTATGATTTCTAGTCAATATTACACCTATATTTACCACTTTTCAGTAGGATGTGATTTTCCTGATAATTTACTGAAGGAAAACTGCTAATAAAATAATTCCGCAATAAATGTTACTCAATACAGGAGTGACCAAACTGCTCTTTCTATCGCTTAGAGTGCGTGCTAGTTATCTAGCAGGTTCAGGATCGCTCACTTTTCTCCTGTGGTGTGATAACCAAGTATTGCTGAGAGATTATTCAATTAAGAAGTCCCTCCACCAAATTCTCACTAATTCTCACTATGACACTTTTGTTCAGCTGTGTCTAACTGACCCTAACTCACGCTTAGAGTGACGTGTTAGTTTTATATTAGCTAACAACTAATATTTGCTTTTATCTTTTGGAGCAAACGAACCAACCACTGGTGAGGAGAATTAAACTTTTATTTCTACCTGAGGTTTGAGAGGGGGCAGAAGCGGTGGCCTTTTATGCTTTTCAGAGGCCTCTCTACTCCCACGCCTCGCACTAGTTACATGTGCTACATTTGTATTATAGATAGTTCTAGAATGATATAGGGGGTTGGGCTGTGTAAGCTTAATAATGGACTTAGGACATGACTCAGCAATAAGTAATTCATTTCTTTGTCTTTTGGGCCGATCTCAGCGGGATCTTGTAGCGCTGAAGCTATGCTCTACACCGCCTTAATTACGAACGGTTATCTTTAGAAATGACTCGGCTATAAAGGAACTTTCTAGACTGTTCTCTAATTGACCCCTTTTTGTGAAGCCACATCATTACTAATGTTCTAGAGCCTTCCCAATTAATTAACTGATCCGCGGACTTCTGAATCACTTCATGCTTATGATCCGAGATCCAGATCATCAATCATTCCTTTGTTCCGATTTATTTGGGCTTAAAATCAAAAAGTTTTGATGAATCATGGGAAAATATACAAGATCCGGTTTTTTAGCATTTTCTCCTCTTCTGATGCGATCAAAAACTGTCCGCCCGCGCCGGGGAATACTCTATCATATGGTATTCGGTCCGCCAGACTCCCGGGCGCCAATATATTTCCCTTGAGTCACATTACCTTTTGTAAGAATTAGCAAATAAATATATATGAATTATAAGGTGTTTCGCCGTTTGAGCGATATCTCCGTCAGTTTTGAAGCTTTTAGAATGAAACAAAACCGTGGATAAAGTTAAGAAACAGTCCTTCCAGATGGTAAAAAGATTACAGTCAAAAGTTTACTGGTTCCCGAGATATTTACATTTCTTTCCCAATGTTCCTTCTTATTCTGCCGTCTATGTGCTATTTTCTTGTTGTAGGGATATATTCTTTGAATATTACACCTATGTCAAGTTCTAGGCATGATTGTAGTAGATTAAATCTCATACTACATGGGTGTAGATATTTTATAATGATCTTCTAATGTCTGTCCAGTCTCATAAAGATCATGAGATCTGTTAAACGTCTGAACTTGTCACCTGTTCGTTGACTATTCTGATAGATCATTGTTTTATTCTTTGAATATTATTTCTCCTACAGCGGGCACGCCCGTTAGTACAACTTCGTCAAGTTGTGGCATATGCACCAAGTGCGAGGCGCTTCGCTAGCCCAATCTGTCGCAAGGTCGAACTGGCATCACTTGCTAATCAGTTGGATCGACCAGCTGTCTCATCGCTTAGACCAATGTTCCCATTCAGGCATTGTCCAGTTGCAGACCATCCAATAAGCGTGACGGAATCCATTGGCCCTTCACATCGCCAGGTTGAACCATTGTCCTTGTCGGTTCAGTCAAACCTCCCGATTGATGCGTCCTGCACATCAAGCGCAACAAACCTTGCCAGTTCAACACGGTACATAGCGGAATCTAGGTCCCCGACTATCCAGATGGACCGACTGTCTGATCTTGCGCAGCACCCACTGGGGCCACGTTCATCGGAGCTGGCATGTCCAATCAGCTTGACACCTTCCGTGGCCGAGTTAACATCACAATCTGGCCAGTTGGGTTCCATTACTGGTCCCTCATGGTGTCTGCCTGAGCCAATACACTCAGATGAGCTGCATCACTTAGTCATGGCCTGGTCATTGAGCGTGGTACACATCTCCAGCTTGATGCATCACGCGGCGTTTAAGTGCCCAACTGTCCAGTTGGATCACCCAGCTACACCCTCGTGGCACCCACACAACTTGGCATGCTCGGACGAGCCATCGAGCTCAGTTTCCACCTCAACTGCAACGTACACGGTCAGGTTGATGTGTCATATGGGTGAGCCGATACCATTGCCAATCCAGCTGGGATCTCCAACCGGCCCTTCACGGCATCCACCTGAGCGGACATGTTCCGATGAGTCGCTTCGCTCAGCCGCAGCCTGTTGGGCAGATCAACTGGCTGTTTCTTTGCAGCGCTCAGTTGTGGATCATTTGTCAAACACAACACACTCCTCAGCTCGACACTTCGCAAGTCTGAATCGTTGTCATTGCCAGCTGCTTCCTCACGTTCATTTGGGCCAGCGTCCTCATTTGGACAGCATCGCTCAGCTACAAGCCGTTCAGCAAGCATGACAGATGTGTCCCGCCCATCGAGCGCGACTCACTCCACTAGCTCGATGCACTACTCGACTGAATTGTCATCTTTGCTTGTTCAATCGGGTCGACTAGCCAGTTCATCGAAGCTGGAGCGCCCGGCTGTCCCAATGCAGTGCTCTTCAGAGCTGGCATGCCTGAATGAGTCAAATCGCTCAGATGCCATCCAATCATTGACTAAGATGCACTCAGCCAGTTCGGTGCCTACCATGGCCGGGCTAAAATCACTGTCTGACCAGCGGGGTTACATTATTGGTTCTTCACGGTGCCTGTCCGATCCGACACATTCAGACCACCCACTCGAACTGGCGGTTTCAAACGAGCCAGGCAGCCCAGTCTCCACCGGCTTATCAGCCACGACACACGCCATCAAGTTGAGGCACTGCCCCACCAACTAGGCATTGCTACCTGTCCTGCCTGAACCTCTGGTCGTGCCTCCACATCACCCTTGTGATTCAGAACGTGCCATGACATGTCTTGTTGTCAAATTGACACCCCTGACTGTCATATCCATGCATACCCGACCCCGACCCGACTTCCGGACCTCCACCCTCTTCACCTCCGGAGTCATAACCTACTGCTGCCGTTCCGATACTCACCTTCGGTCTTGGCAACACACCTCCTCCTTACCTCCCTGACCCTATCTCCGTCCGCTCCGATACTCATCTCGGACCGAACACCGCCCCTCTCGCCACCCTCCTACTACTCCGCTCCCCCTTCACAACACCTCCACCCTCCCGTTATCCTCCTACACTTCCCCCGTCCGCTCTGATACTCACCTTCGGACCTGACTACTCTCCTTTCCGCCACTCCTTCTCCCCTTACCTGTCCCCTCTCTCCTCCCTCCGTTACTCCTCTGCCACCCTTCCGCCAAGTTATGACCTTCCACCGCTGTCCCGTACTTCGCACTCGGACACCGCTCATACCTTGCTCCGAGCCTCCGTCATAGTCCCTACCTCGGACTTTGACTCCACCTCGGTCTTAGTCCATTGCATTGGTGACCTCATACTACGTAAACACCATTGCCAATATCCCTCGGACTTTCAACCCCGCCTCCGTAACCTCCGTAAGCTCCACAACCCCCGAGCTTCGCGGATCGCCTTCGGCACTCTCGCCGCTTGTAATGTATTTCTCGCGTTTTCCCCTCATCCCTATTTGGACTACTGCTTCTTCCTATTCTAGCCAGTTAGTCATCATCCCCACTTCCCCTCATCCTCCTGCCCCTCTGGGCCTCGCCCTCTCTACCTACTTTCGGACGTATCACAGGTCCTACCTTATGACCTTCGGTACTGCTCCGCTCCCTCTACCCTTTGTTCCCGTTCGGACGCCTTCGTTCCGATTCGGTTACCCTTTGTTTTCCTTGTGCTTTTGCCCCTTCCATTATATATATCGGCGCTTGTACATACTCGTTTTGGTTTAGTCCGAAATCGACCTGAAATGCCCCCTAGAGACTTCCTGCTCACCTACTGTGAAATTAAGGACCAAATGGACAAACAGCAATGGCACAGCGCTCCGCTTGAGTCGCTGAGGCCAAGGTCCCTCCACGCTAAGTCTCCGATTCCACTCCGGAGTCGTCTGTTTCCGCCCGTTCTAACACTGACTACCCAATCGGATCCACCAGCCATGTCCTCACATTGCCTCCTCGAACCATTGTGCTCGCATGTGTTGGTTTGCCCAGTGGCAATCTGTCAAGCAGTCATCCCTATGCGGCATGCACTTGAGCTAGCACAACTGATCGAGCAGTTTCGTCCAGTCATGGCCCATTCATCAAGGGCGATGCTCACCTCTAATTCATCACGTTGCTTAGTCGAACCAAAGTTAACTGGACTACCGGATCGCCTGGTCACATCTTCGTGGAACCCACATGAGTCGCATGGCTCGGATGTGACCTCTCCATCGAGTAGGATGCACTACATCAGTCCAGCAGGCCGTGCCGTCAATTCGATGTTATCGCTAGCTCTATGCTATGCAATCAAGCTGGCGCCCTCGCAGGCCCAGCCGGTCCCTGTGAATATTGTTCTGCACCGTACTCCCGAGTCGTCAATTTCCTTAGCTGATGACCTGCTGAGTGTGAGGCTCCTTATCAACCCATCACTCTTGCCTGTTCCGTTAGGCCTTCCGGCAGCTTATTTACGTCGTCCTCACGAGCTGGGACACTGGTATGATCCGCACCATCCAGCCAGCGCTGAATCGTCAATTGTGACAAATTACATCGGTTCGACAGGTCAAGCAATCGCATATTCAGCACGCATTAATGTTCAGGCTCTCAACAAAGTTCTCAGCCACGAAGTCAACGTGTGTAACCCCCAGCGGGGCGGAACTCGGATTATGACACAAAGGTGGTCAGATTATGTTGCTGACGCCAAGGACAGCCATTCCCCAATTACCTCGCCCATTGATGGTTGGATCCACGAACTGCTGTCTTTGCCGGCCCGGTTGGATCCTCTGGCGAACCCTCCACATCATCCACCGATTGAACCGATGTCGTCGCCAGATCAGCCAGTCATCCTTTCACGCTCCACACATGAGCCTGCCTGCATGTGCTGTGTCGCCTTCCAGCAGCACATACACCAACCACGACATGCTCTATCGACCTGGCACACTTTGCAACTAAACTGATGTCATCGCAGGACCAATTGGATCTCCCAGCCTTTCCCGTACGTCGACCTCTCAAGTTGGCGTGCCCGAACAGACCACCAGGTGATCCGACTCTCAACAAAGGTCCCGGCCACGAGATCAGCATATCTAACCTCCGGCTGGGTGGAATTCAGATTGGGCATAGGAACGGGATTCTTCAGTGGTCCACATCGAGTAATCCTGAGAGAACAACTAACGGAATAACTGCTTGCTCTAATGCTAAAGCTCAGTCTCAAGCTAATGCGCGAGAACTATGATATTACCTAATGCTAAAGCTATAAGGTAATATACAATGAGTTACAATGTATAAGAAATCAGAGTAAAAGAATGTTGTAACTAACCTCAGTCTCAAGCTAATGCATGAGAACTGAGGGAAAAAGGAAACTAATCCAAATGAATGAATATAGTTTGTGGACTTTGCGGATAGGTCCGAAGTGACCAAAATAAGTAAGAAGAAAAGGTGTTGTGACCAAGTAGTCACGCTACCGCGGGAATGTGGCTGTCCAGGCGAGTTCCTCGCTCGGATGTGGGAATGTGGCTGTATGAAAACTCGTCCGGCCTCCCATAGCACACAGTTCCTCCAACAACAACAAGGGTATCAATGTGGCTTGGCTGCAACCCCAACATCAATGGCGGTCATCCCCCAGTTACCTTACCCAGCAGCGGTTGGAATCGCGAACTGATGCCCTTGTCTAACCAATCAAACCTGTCAGAGACCAGATTCGAGACGAAGGAATGTCTCCGTTGTAGGAGAAATAACGGCCACACTATGGAAATCCATTATGGAAATATGCCAGATAAATCACAAAACCTCATACGACAAGTAGATATGAGAACATAGAAGGACCTGAATTTTAACGAATTTTACGAATTTTTACGAATTATTATGACTATACACGATAAATCGAAAGAAAGAAAAATAACAAAAATACTTCAAGCTTACCATCAACGAGACGGAATTCTCGGGGGAATTTATAGCAAATATTAAACCAAGAATTAGGACAATCGACCAAGATTTGACTATAAAAATAATCAGAGAACCTCCACGGAAACTACTTTCCTACGTCCGCACACATAGCAAGGATGGAAGTACCACGGAACAAAGATTCCTCAGGAACTAATGCAAAAGTCAAAGTCGTGTTTATGATAGGAAATGTAGATGTCCCCCAAACGGAACCAATGAGAGTAATTACAGGGGAAACTACCCATAAACGACGGAGATATGACTAAAACTCCTGCAAAACGAGGACAATGTCTAAAAAGCAAGCGCGAAGATTAACTAGTAACGACCGAGACAAGCTTGATAGCCCATTAGAAAGGAAGGGATCTACTCTTAATCCTCCCAAATTTCCATAATAAAAGGATCATGCGTTAATGAGAAATCCAATAATGGGAATAGCGACATCAAAAGTCCGAGCTCAGGGACAAGACGATGATTGCGTAGGATCCATAATTAAAACATACAACGAAATTTACACGGAAATTATGAAAAATAGGAAACTATAGCTATGCAAATTCTCAGCCCAAACGGTCCAGCCGTTGTGAAGTTATACCCATGACGGGAATATAGGAATCCGCATCATGTGTAATGACACGTGAGGGTGGCAATGCGCAGGGAACCGGCCGTCGGAACCGAGATCCGCACTTCAGCAGATCGCGAAGACCAATTTCCGTCCAAATAAGGAAGAGCCCGGTCAAAACAAAGCATGGAAAGTGCAAAACAACCTTAGAACATGAGGGAAAAATCTGAAATAAATCACAGAAGCCCATATGAAAGAAATAAACACCCGCACATATCATAAATCCCGAACAAATAAACGAAAACGGCTCCCGCATACGAACGATGCACGTGATTACTGAATGTGCGCGCGAATCTTTGCTAACTCAACGAATACCAGGAAATAGGACACAATATTAGTACCATTGGAAAGGTGGGAATAAATGAAAATTTATGATACTAAGAACGTGAGGAAACATCCAGAAATGAATGAGATAGAAGGACATGAAGTTAGAAACCTGAAAATGCGCGGGAAAACAGCTTCAAGAGGTCCAGAGTCCTAAATAAAATAGATAAAAATATGATATCTTCAAGGACAACCTACTATATCAACCAACGATACATATGGAGGATTAGGATGCGATAATACAAAAGGAAATCAGAGAATATGAACAAAATTCACGAAAACCACTAAACTACGACGGACCATGGCGGGAATTTTAGGGAACGATATTCTAATGAGGTGGAGAGCTATAACACATTCGTTTGAGTAATTCTTGACCACTAGCAACTTTTTCTTTCAGTTTCAAACCTGAATAATTCACTCATTTACCATTTCAGTCTCATTTTAACTAAATGTCACTAAATAAAAATGGAATAAATCAGCTGAAGGTCTCAGCACAGCCGTACGCATAGTAATGCGAAGTTTGAATTCAGAGTCATCGAGTCATAGCAAATTTAATGGTATATATATAGAATTTGAAATAGGTAACTGCGGCAAATGCAGCGCAGCCAAGTTCTAATTAACCATTAAAATAGCTTAGGCGAGGGAGGACAATAAGAATTCTAGGTGCAGCCTGACCGCAGTAGAACCGCAGTTCAGCGCAGCAAAAGCGCAGTAGAACTATAGCATGAAAATTTCATTTTTATTCAGTTTGAGAAAAATACACTGTAAATAAATCCTGTAAATAGAAGGTAGAGCGTGAAAAAGGAAGGCGACCCAAGGAGTATAAAAGGGAGACCCTTTCTGCGACTTTTCGCCCCCCTTAGAGAAGTAAGAAAATAGAGTATTATTTTTCTCAAGCATTTCTGGTTGTCACTCCAGTGCGAAAAAGTGATATACAGTTAAGATTGCCACTGTAGTAAAAGGCAGCAATTAAGGAGAGAAATATTAAGTAGATATTTCAACAGGAGAGCTGGTTAACACTCCAGATTTCAAAGTGTAAACACAAAACAGTTATTTTGCTACTGTTAAAACAAGCGATAAAATAAGACAAAAATAAAACGAACTCAAGGGACACTCCAGACACCATCCAAATTCATTAACTGAATAGAATCTTTGAAACTTCACCAAGTAGAAGATTAAATTCAAGTTTAAATCCAAATTAAACAACGCTACACAGAATTACACCTAGACAAATTAATAAATTTCAATAAAGAAACAGCTCCGCAGGGCTCGGTTTATCTGTAAGTCAATTCCCAGGAACTTTAAAACTAACCCATAAAAATAGAATTAGCCAAAACACTCGGATTGGTACTATATTTACAATAAATAACACTAGTACACTCCCCCATCCTAACTAAAGAACCAGGGAACAGCTTGGTGGTGGTCTTGTTTGAACCTCCCAACTGACTTTCCTTTGTTCTCTCCTTCACCGTAACGGAGGGCTTCGGCCTCAGCGACTTCTGCCAAGAGCGCTGTGCCTAGTGACACATCCGTGCCCTAACTTACTGACTGGCAATTAGAACCTAGGGGGTAACTCTAGTTGACTTTTCTACTGGGGTGTAACCTATGTACAAGTGGGATATATATATGGTTACAGCGGGGACGGGTCCGCAATTGGCGGAGCCGAACGGAGCGGAGCTAACGGGGTTTAAACATTAGCCGACTGAATATTACCGACGAGTCGGTTCGCAGGGTTAGCGGAAAGGCAGGCGATAACCCAGAAACGGAAAGGAGGGATAGGCCCGAAGGTGGGCTCTGTGTCAGGGCCCGGCCTCGGACTCGGAGGCTCCCTGACCTCAGCCCCCATCTAACCTGTCCTCACACTATGCGGGGCATGAGATGTATAGTAAAAGGAAAGAGAATATATACACTTGCCTATGCGGGGCATGAGATGAGAAGAAGGGTAAAGGTCTCATCTCCCCGCATGGTTGCTATATAAAGGAATGGGTCACATGCCCACAACTATACAGCTCTTAGAGTTGTGTAGTGTGACCCGGAGGGAACATCCAGGTGGCAGTGCCAAGCGTGGGAACGTTCTGGGCGAGTTGCTCACCCAGAACTGTGGCTGTGACCCGTGGGAACATTCTGGGCGAGCTGCTCGCTCAGAAAGTTCCCGCGCTATCCCGTGCGCGCGCGTGTACACAACACACAAAGGCAACAACAAGGCAACAGTTGAAGAATAAAAGGGGGTAAAGTAGGTGGGGAGTCCGGGGCACCCTAAGGCAGGGTGCTGAACCCTGACACTCTGCAGGGCAGGCGAGTGTATTGCCCAGCGGAGGTGGGGGTGCGCTAGCGGACGTCGGAGCTGTCCAGAAGTCTTCGGGGCTCCGTACTTAGGGAGGCGTAGGTAATAAATTGAAATGAGGGGGTGGTGACCATCGAGGGGTGCCGAGAGGATTGCGGAATACGGGGGCTCCGAGGTTAGTGAGGGAGGAGCGGAGTTAGATCGGAGAGATCGGAGGGACCGGAAGTCGATGGCCGGGGATGGATATGACAAAACCGTCCAGTCACCCCTTTGCATCCCTCATTTGTGATAGCATGCTGGCACGTGCCGCACCGCTTAGCAGTGGCACATTCACTGATCATAACGCACCCTAGTGGTCCAATGTGTCAAAGGACCACACGATCCGTTGGCACTGATGCATACCGTATTTATCCTGGTCACCATCCCACTCAGGTCGAAGGACAGTCTATCATCCTCATTAGGGTTCCAACACTTGACAAGAATCCCAACTGCGGAACCCATGCGATTAACTCCCATCTGGGTGGAACCCAGATTATGACGCTAACGTGGCTATGCCCTGCCTCTTACATCAAGAGCAGTCATCTCTCAATCACCTCGCTCATCGACGGTTGGGATCCGTTCCTCCAGCTGGACCCTCTGGTCGATTCTTCGCACCGTATCATCCAGATCGCTCAGGGGCAGGCGAACTATCAAGCGCGACATACACCGTTAGCTTGACGAGTCTTGTGGCCGGATCGACGTTTTTACTTGCCCAGATGGATCACCCAGTTGCTCTTTCTTCTGGTTCTCTCAAGCCTGAGTGCTCGTGTCCTCCACATCGTACAGTCATGGTTGGACGGTCGATTAAGGCAGGCTCTCCATCCATTCCCACTCACTCCTTTCTCGAGTCAGCTCCCATGCAGTCGTCTCTCCACTCAGTGGCAACACAATCGATAGTCGTGACCCGGTTGATGTCCTCTCACAACTGGTCGGATCCTCCAGTTGTCCCTGCTTGTCGACTTCTTGGGCTAGCACGCCTGCATGGGCTATGTTGTCCGTTGTTAGTCCATCTACCGGACTCGGTGCATTCCACCAGGACGATGTGGCAGGCGTCTGAATCAGCATCCCCGCATGTTCACTCAGATCCTCCCGCTGAGACAGGGCACCACCCTCCTGAGCTGGCGCAACCGTACAGCCTGCCTGTGGCTTGTACGCCATTGGCAATGCGACCTGTCAGTTCAGCACAACACACGGTCAGATCACCCTTGCACGATCAATCGGATCCATCGGTAGTACCCATCTGCTGTCCTCTGGAATCGGCGGGTAATTTGATTCGCCACATGTTTGAGCCGACACCCTCATTTGATCCATCAGACACTTTGACCGTTCCTGCACAACATTTCTCTGAGCAATCACATTCACAAGCGTGGACACAGCCAGAGCCTGAGCAGTCGTGCATAGGGTCACTCCAGGCCCAACTGCCCAGGTCATGTGTCGGATCTCCCAAATGGATATATGCCACAACATTGTGCTTGGAAATGGCAGGTACAACACGAGTGCCGTCATGGCACCACCCTCGTGAGATGCTGTACCCGCCGCATATGGTATACCTCACCTCAAAGACATGGTGGTGGTCATCATACGCGGCACATCCAGCTGCCAAGTTCTGCCGCTTGAAAATCTGTCGTGCCAAACCGAAGGTGTTCCTCACTGCAATACAGGTTCTCGTCCAGACCGTAATCATGGTTAGTTACTTGCCGGGTCTGACCAAGGATGAACCTAGGAAGAGCTTCTACGCCCCATTGTTGGTCTCAGGTCGTCCCGAGCCTGGCGACTTACGTGTTGCACGGAGCTGTGCGAACGCGAGGTCAAGATCATTTATATGGCATTATAAGATCGGCAATGGTAATATCCTGATACAAGTTGTCCCTTTCCCCGCTGGCAGACTAAGTACTACTCTGCATTGCCGCGCAAGCACGAGCCCCGGTAGAGAAACCATCGCCTTGGCTCACAGAGGCACGCAGTGGCATCTTTTATAGGTCAACTGCCTATTTATCTCTGTGTCCTCAATCGCCCCTGAGTCCACAGCCGCATCGTCAGATCAGTCGAATCCGATTGTCCTACTGCACCCTCTAGGATGGTCTCATCATCTGATCAAACAGGAGAACTCGCTTCACAACCTGGCCCATTCTGACTTCCGAGTATCATGCTGTGCGGTTGTTCCATCTCGACTGACTCCCAAACCCACACAATCCTCCCATGTCCTTGCACACTCACCCTCCGTTCAGTCGCATCGGCCCAGTGCAGGTGGAGAGAAGTCAAGCCCCCAAGGTTCAATAACCGGGCTTCCAGAAAACCATTTCCTCTGCCAGAGGACCACCCCAAGTGAGACTTGCATTAGACAAGCCTTCAGCAACGCCCTGTCATGGCACCCGTTAAAGGCAAAGGAGGAAAGATTCAGCTCGGGGTTAGAAGTACTAACCAGACATGTCTCCCTTTCCTTCCCTCCAAGCTATCTCTGAGGCCCTTGGTCTCCACCTCAGCCCCATATTGGCGATGCCGGAAGGAAGAGGCGCGCGCGTCCAGCAAATCTATTTACTGTTATTTGTTTCGAAATTCCCGATCCCTGTTCTCTTAGCGCCTCTTAGCGCTCCCTCTCTGCACTCATTCCCAACGCTTGAAGGCAGCCATGGCTGATCGAAATTTGCTGGGTAGCATCAGTGATTGGGATGGGAGTTAGAGCTCGCAGCGTGGTCCAGTTGTATCGGAGTGAACGATTACGATTCTCGACGGTGACCTCCATGTTTCTGGTCGCGGAGGGGAACTACCTGCACCTTCGACTGACCTCAGCTCAGTTGGCTACCCTCAATCCGCCGACCAAATGCTACTCTCTATCTGGATCCAGTACCAGCAGTCTCGGCTTGTTTTTATGTTGCAGTCTCAATGACGACCAGAATCATCGAGTTCCAAACCATCAGTCGTCACCCTCCCATGGAGGCTAACCCCCCCATACTGTATGTGTATCTTCGCACCCAACCCGGTCGTTGCCAAGCCTTCTTGGCAGTGCGGTTCCGTGCTCGATTTCACCAGGCATCCCTAACCCAACCACTCGACACCGCCTGTCTCTCCCAGCGTTGGAGGCTGTCAACTTCCCATCCCAATGCCAGCACGATTGGCACTAAGCTTTCTGATTCCACCATTCCTGTCAAAGTCGACATATGCCCAGGCTCACTCACGAGCTATAGCATGATACTTACAAGGTTATGCGCCGACAGAGAGAGACACACGCACCGCTACAGTTTGGAGCTTCCGGTCAGGGAACATCCTCAATGCGTTGCCCACCCGAAGCGATCTCCGGAAAGGATTGACTGCACCCGCCATTGTCGTCTACCGACTCACGGCACCTGAACATGCCACTATGTCCCCGCGCCAGCTTGGTCGCCTTATCGAGATGTGGTACCTGCGGATGGCTGGCACCACTCAATCAGGTTTCAAATTGCGCCTGGGACGTTTCCTCTGGCCGCTACAGGGGCCTTTCAGGTTGTCGATCGCACCCAACGCCAGTAACAGCCGCAGAGGGCACGAGTACGTACGACGTGAACCTTCTGCATCCTTGCACTCGCATCAATGGCACTACCGCCAATGACGATCTATCGGTTTAAGTGCAGAGTGGAGGGGACTTCCCACGTCCAAAGCTACAGACTTGACCTGCCAAGTTGGTGACCATCGCAAATGAAGACCCGGACCGGTTCAGATGGCCTTACTCATCCATGAGGGACGATGCTGTAGCCTGAATCATCCTAGTTGCCACCCCGAGTGCCCACCATCAATCCAGTTCCGGTACCAGGGGGTGGTACCTCGAAGCTGAAATCGAGGTTAGCGCTCTGAGCTCATCTAGAACACCCATCGGCGTGCACAAATTTGAAACATCCATTCCAGTACACCAAGGCTACATTGTTACCCTGTGTGGAAGTTTCCCACCTAGCAGCACCGAGCCGATCATTCACCCTTGGAGGGGCCCATCGCAAGATGTGTTACGAAATCAGACTGTCCCGTGGCGATTTCCAGAGTGAACCCCTCTCGCCAAATGGATGATACTGGCACTTCTCTATGTGGCTAGGCCTAACTCATATGCGGGCCGGGTGAGGAGGTGAATGACCCAGGTTTCCAATCATGCAGGGACTGCCTCCGAGCCATTGTGTTTGGGAATGGTGTTGCTGTTGGTCCTATCATAACAGGGCAATTATGACGAGTGTACCCCACCTGCCGAATGATCCCAGACACCCCCGACATCTCCCGAAAGGGTGGACCCCTGAGATGCAACACCGCCGGCAGCTAGACTGATCTGGCTGTTAAGCGGTCCAGTAGACTCACCTTATCTGACCAACATCCATATTAATCCTAACACAATCCTGCATGATGGAGGGGAATTACTGCATGGAAGCAGGATGCGCTGCATTTCTGGACTGAGTTGTCAAGCTGGACCACAGATGGATGATGTGACTCTTGGACACATGGTTTTCCATATCTATCCTAATATGATATCATGATGCCCAAGCCAATCGTTGGACTGGAGCTAGAGGAAGCCTAGGACCATGCTTACAAGGATGGTCTTTGACTACCATTCCCAGACTAAGGGCTGCCAGCTTGCACGACATGCAACAATCATGTGGGCCAGGTCCGGGCCTCCGACTCACCACCCCCATCACCTGTTCCTCAGCACTGGGAATCAGGACTCTTGGAGGATTAACATGGCTGTCACACTGGCCCATAAGAGTCTGGGGGGCGATGTTATAGGAATGGACCGAGAATCTCGTGACTATGAACAATCAAACCTTTGGTCCCTGCACCTTTATTTCGCTGTCAAACCCCATGCCAAGCTTTCCCACTGGGTTTTGGTGCTGGCTGGGGAACTTGTTGAGTTTCAAGGGACTTCCCTTGACCATTGTGACTTTTATATTAGATAGTTAGAAGTCATATGATGTGTAAGGCAGATGCCAAAAAATGTCTTTCATTATAAAATACATAACCCACAAACCTTGTACCGCAATTGTAACATCCTCACCATTGTGTCACCACTGTAAACTCAACCTGTAACCCTGGAACCATGTCCACCTCCCTATTCCTCCTCTCCATGACAAAACCACAACGAGGAGGGCATTCCCATGCCCAACCTCCTGCTGCCCGCTCCCACCAGTCCACTGGGTGGTCGAGTGGTTACTCCCATCCAACCAGAAGTTCCCTATCAGGAACTGTAGCCTATCCCACCTCCTCAGGAGAAGGATACGGTCCAGGCAGCTCCAGGATGCCTGGCCACGCACCTGCGGGTCCCACTTCCCATGGTCACCCACTACCGTGCACTGGTCCACCAGCCCGCTTTCCCCAACAACTCCTGCTACTGGTACGCTCCCATGAGCGCCAAGTCACTGATAGCCACCAACTGGGTGACTCCCTTTGGGAGTCCCAGTATCCCTCACTACCGGTACGCTCCATTGAGCGCCAAGTCACCGCTAGCTAAACACTCCCAGCACACCCGCTACCGGCACGCTCCCAGGAGCACCAAGTCCCTGTGAGCAGACAGCCAGGTGGCTCCCTCAAGGAGCCCACATCATACTTGCTACCAGTACGCTCCCAGGAGTGCCAAGTTACCATTGGCTGACACACAGGTTGTACTTCCATACACTCATCCTATTCTGCTCTCCCTCCGATGGCTACGCAGCCACCTCCATTAGTGAGCCGAACGGCTCAGGTTGGGTTCCCCGGAATCCATTCCTGTAACAGTGGGGGGTAGAGGTGAGTGGGATACCGGGTCAGGGCAGGTGGAGCCGGGTCAGGTGGGTGTGCCCTGACATCACCCCCTCCTTAAGCCGCTTCGCCTCGAAGCGGCCAGGGGGTTCGTTCTCTCCCTTCCTGGGGCATGGGGTGTGTTTGGTGGAACTCCTCTATCCAGTCAGGGGCATGGATTAGTTGGTCTCAGGGGAGCCATTCATTCTCTGAGTTCGGCCAACCCGCGAACTTTACTAAATACCAGAGCTTCCGGCGTAACCACTTAGAGTCCAGTATTTTCTCTACTTCATATTCCTCCTCTCCATCTATGAGTTCTGGGCCCGGGCAGGGGTTGGGGGGTCGTTCTGCAATCTTGTCCGGGTGGTAGGGTCTTACGACTGGGTGTATTCCCTTTTTCTGTGCGGTGAGCTGGAGCTTGACAGCAGCTGGGGAGACGATTTTGATGACTTTGAAGGGGCCTAGCCACTTATGGTCTAGCTTCTTGGTTGGGCGGTCAGTCATATAGTTTTGGGCACTGAGCCAGACTCGGTCGCCTTCCTGGTACTTGGGGGCTGTCTCTCGACCCCAGTCATAGTAGTGGGCCATCTCGTCCGCTGCATGCTCCAGGGCTGCCTTCGCCTCTTCCTGCATCTTCATCATCCTGGACGAGAAGGCGTCGGCAGCTTCTACCTTAGACGTACATGTGGGCTCCGTCCCCATCCTGGGATGCTGCCTGGTGTCAAGCTCGAAGGGGGTGCACTTTCCGCTCAAATGATGGGATGCAACATGTTGCTCCTCTACCTCATTCCACAGTGCATATGCTGGGGATTGCACAGCGACCTGCATGAGAGAAGCATATATAGTGTATTTTGAGCCTATAATTAAATTATTTTGATGCATTATTTGTCGAGATTGTGAGTATGAAACTATGTGGCTACTGATGAAGCAGAAGACAGCTGATCTGCATATCGATTGACTATTTGTTTAAGATGGGCCTTCCTTGGGCCAGATTTGAGGCTTCAGGCCTTTGTCCATGGCAATATAAGTTCTTCTTCACCCTTCATGCAGGCCTGCCCCTGGCTAGTGAGGGCCCGTTCCAGTTGCTGCTTTGCATTTTGGGTGGTCTTTTGATAATGACCTGCCTTTGAAATCGCAGCTTTATGAAAGGCATCACTATCATGAAGCTTTCAGCTTGCTGCACCAAGCTTTCGTTTCAGATTAGAATTGTCCACACATAGTGGGGTTGGGATGTGGGCCCCAGGGCAATCAATTTTTTTTTACCACTCTCAGGTAGTGTATTCCCCCCTGGCTGGCCACATAAATCTTTTACAGCATTCTCTTTGTCTTTAGAATGTTTTGAGTTGCCCCAGAAGCCAGTGATCAATAGAGTGTGGGATATACAGCCTGGAGATCTTCTTCTCTTCTTATATGAAGACCGAGATGTCGATCCCATTTGAATTCAGATCCTTGTAGTATTATCTGAAAGTTGTCAGTCTGCCTATTTTCAAGCAAATTGGCAGAGGCTATGTGTGCTGAGGGACAAAATTGTCGGGGGGGAGGCACAGTTTCCTTTTTGATGTGAAATGTAGGCTCGGAACAAATAATTGTAAATAACTTTTTTCGCTGAAGTTTTTGGAGGGAATGGTGACACATTTCAAGATAATTATGGGTGTCTAGGCATGCAATGGCTAGTTATAATGTTTTGGTGGTTGGAATTTCGCACAGATGCAGTATTAGTGGTGTTATGAAGAATTTATTGGAACAACACTCCTTGTAATTGAGAAATAATATGTAAAACCACCAAAACACCCTAAACATGATTATGAACAACATTTACTAATGGTATTCTTCACCAAATGTCCTGTGGAATGCACAAAACTTTGGCAATGTTGGGTCCCACTTTCTGTGGTTGTTCAATAGTATATGCTTACATAAGCAGGTTCCATGGTGCAACCTGGGTTGCCCACCCCCATATATGACCTCTGCAACCAGCCAACCTATTAACCACACCGAGCATTTATATTAGGTTACTGACACTCACAACAAGGGGTACCCTGTAGAAATGGTCGGCATGGTAGTGACTGCTAGCAACCATAGCAACCCGTCAAAACCTCTGGTCCGACTTGACTGATGTGCTATGACAAGTGCAACCCTCCTTCAGCCCAGCAGGCATACTGGGCTTCACCATTTGCGATTGGCTGAAAAAGCCGATCACCTCCCTTCATATGTGAAGGGAGAACATGACTCCAAAGTGAGGATCAAGTGATGATCCTCTTGATGAGGTGATGCACAGACTGGAAACAGTCAGCGCTAATTTGCTGCCAATCAATGGCAGCATTCCTCTCATTCTGAAAGGCTAGAAGCCTCTCAGACTCTCTGCCAGCTCAGCACTGGCATGCCTGCTCCTCAGTCGCTGAGGAGCATGAGCAACTTTTGGAAGCGCTACTCAGTGTCTGCTGAGTGCCACCTCATAGAAGCGCCTAGCGCTTCGGCATTTTTGGGAGAGGTCAAGCAATTGACCTCCATCTTCTTACTGGGAGGATAGAGACGATTACTACGACTGTCTCTATACTGGTCTTATGCCGGTATTGCAGCTCTCCAGCTTCTGCTGAGAGCTGGCATATCGAAGCGCCCATGCTTCAATATGTTTAGGGCCTGTAAAATCTACAGCCCTTACCTCTCCCTCTCATGCTGAGAGGCCCTAGACGATCATCTCTACTGGTTTTACACCAGTACTCCAACTCCTCAGCCTTTGCTGAGGCCCAATGTGCACAAGCGCACCTGCGCTTTGTCATTTCTTGGGCCTGCATCAAATATGCAGCCCTTTCTCCCTCCTCTCATTCTGAGAGGCTGGGGACAGCTTGTTTGGTCATCTCCATCCCTATTATAAGTGCAAATAGGCACTTCTCAGTTGATGCTGAATGCCACAAAAGCGCACTGCGCTTGAGGTCCTAATCCAGTCCATCTTTATGGGTGAAATCCCCTTTTTCCCTCCCTAACAATCGGTTAGGGAGGAGCGACTTTTAGTAGCCTGGGTCCATTGACCCAGACACACCCCCTAACAATCGTTTAGGGAGGAGCAGCCATTACTAGCCCTCCTTTATTTTATTATTTCTTTGTCTTTGGTTTGCTATAAGTCGGAAACACTATGAAAGCCTAACTGCTTTCATTACTTAAGGTTTATTACCGGCAGAGCAGGAATGAACCACAAAGGTATAATCACCTTCGGAATGGAGGCCTAACTACCCCCACTTAACTGCTTCCATTTCCCATATTGGGTTTGGCAAAGGCCTAACTGCCTTTGCATTCTATTTCTTGCTTTACTTCTCCTGGACTGCGAAACACAGTTCTGTGAAGGCTTAATGGCCTTTGCCTTATCCCTATTTCCTGATCTGTCAAAACAATGGATCTGTGGAGGCTTAACGGCCTCCACCTTACACACTTTCTTTCTTTGGTCTGTTGAAACAACAGACCCATGGAGGCTTAATGGCCTCTAACTTGTATCCTTTCTTTGGTCCGTCAAAACAACAGACCTGTGGAGGCTTAACAGCCTCTACTTTATTTCTATTCTCTAAAACCATTGAAAGAATGGTTGCATCAAGGCTTAACAGCCCTCCCCCCTCCTGGTTATATTCTTGTTATTCTTGAAGGG